GGAGGAAGGACGGCTTCAGGTCTACGACCAAGTCCGCCGTTCGCCAGCAGCCAGCAAGCAGCAGCAGCAGCAGGGAGAGGAGGAGGGAGGAGGAGGGGAGGGAGGAGGGAGGAGGGAGGGAGGGAGGGAGGGAGGGAGGGAGGAGGAGGGAGGAGGAGGAGGAGGAGGAGGAGGAGGAGGAGGAGGAGGAGGAGGAGGAGGAGGAGAGGAGGAGGAAGAAGAAGAAGAAGAAGAAGGAGGACGGATGAGGATGGATGAGGATGGAGGAGGATGGAGGAGGATGGAGGAGGATGGAGGAGGATGGAGGATGGAGAAGGACGGAGGAGGAGGAGGAGGAGGAGGAGGAGGAGGAGGAGGAGGAGGATAATGGAGAAAGAGGAGGAGGAGGAGGAGGAGGAGGAGGAGGAGGAGGAGGAGGAGGAGGAGAGGGAGGGGGAGGGGGAGGAGGAGGAAGAGGATCAGACGCAGTGGCCACCCCCCAATGATGTCTGTGCAACGCAAAACGGACGAAGAGGAGAAGGAGGAGGAGGAGGAGGACCACTGCAAGCCCTCGATGCGTCAACGATGTAGCAATACAACCTCCCGTCCCGAGTTCCCTCTTTGTAGTGTGCCTCCACGCATTCTTTCTTACTACGGGAAGTCCTCCCCTACTGAGAGACGAACGTCCCATGGGCTTGACATTCAGGCGAGAGCCCGGTTTTGAAAGGAAGTTGCCCTCCATACTCTCAGGAGTGAGGGACACGATCAGGAAGGATCATTCAGGTCAAGGGAGTATCCAGCCGGAATCACGTTTTGCAAAGGCACCGTTCTCCATGCGCTCTGGTGTCAAGCGAGAACCCTATTTCGAAAAACGCCCTCCATCCGTGCAACTGTTGCGCAAGTTGAAACTAATCGTTTCATTGTATGGCGACGTCTGAAAGATAACACCAGTTCGACGAGGAATCGCCATTCGTCCAAGCAGGTGTTGGAAGCTGGACGAAGCTTCTGCGCTGGGCTAAGGCGGCACTTCGATCTTGACAACCATGCACCCTCCATCCGAGCAGCTGTTCGGGACGTTCAAGACGACTGTAGACGGGAAAATGTGGGAAGTGGGGGAGAAGACGAAAACCCAGAACATTTGGGAACATGCGGGGAATCCTGGTATTTGTGTCCATCTGTGTATTCGTGTGTCCCAGGGCCCCTTCACCGGGGCACGAGCCATCTTTTGGGCAGCTCGCTCACCCTCGCCGCGGTGCCCGCCGCGGGGCGCGCCGCGTCGGCGCCGCCGTGGGCCCGGTGGGCGTGCCGAGCGTGCGCCCGCTGCCGCGCGCGCGGCGCGCGCGCCGCGGCGGCGCCGCGTGGGCCGGGCCGGCGTGCCGAGCGTGCGCCCGGTGCCCAGCCGTGGGCGCCGCGTGGGGGCGCCTCGCGTGGGCGCCGCTGGCGCGCCGGGCGGGTGCGCCTCCTCCTCCTCCTCCTCCTCCTCCTCCTCCTCCTCCTCCTCCCTCCTCCCGCCTCCTCCTCGTCTCCCTCCTCCCTCCTCCCTCCTCCCTCCTCCCTCCTCCCTCCTGGATAACTGTGCGGTGCGCGGGTGCCCCGCCCCGGCCGTGGCCGCCTCGCTCGGCGTGCGGCTCATGTCTTAGAAGTGCAGGGATTTGGTATCAAAGATTACCCCAGTGCGGCCCTACCTAGAAGTTGGAGCCCCTAGGAAAGCAGCATTGCTTTGCTATGCTATGCCATGCCATGCCATGCCATGCCATGCTATGCTGCGCTATGCTATGCTATGCTATGCTATGCCATGCTGCGCTGTGCTATGCTAAGCTATGCTATGCTGTGCTAAGCTGCGCTAAGCTGTGTTTTGATTTGCTATGCTATGCTATGCTATGCTATGCTATGCTATGCTGCGCGGTGTTATGCTGTGCTGTGCTGTGCTGTGCTGCGCTATGCTATGCTATGCTATGCTGCGCTATGCTACCCTATGCTGGGCTTTGTTATGATATGCTGTGCTGCGCTATGCTATGCTACGCTCTGCTATGCTATGCTGTGCTCTGCTATACTAAAGCTCGGCGAAGCTAAGATGAAGGTAAGCTAAGCTAAGATAAGCCTGAGCTAAGATGAAGCTAAGCTAAGCTAAGATGAAATAAGCTAAGCTAAGATGAGATAAGCAACGCTAAGCTAAGGGGACGCAACTGGGGGAACCGCGGGGCGGATCCTGGGGGAACCGCCCGGGGTGATATCCACTGCCCGGCCCCTTTAAGCTAGAGGGTAAGAACCCTTCTAGGCAGAGCCTAGGTAGGGAACAACCATGAGTTCATGCATACATTTATCCATAAGCTAATCATGTATTAAAATCAGATATCTTTAAGAATCATATGTCTTGAAACCTGCCCTGCAGTGGGCTGCATGGCTGTGGCGACACAGCTCACATCACACAGCCTGCACCCACACAGCTGCACAGCACAGGCAGCTTGCACCGCGCGCCTCACACCACGCAGCTAGCGCCACGCAGCGTGCCCTGTATAGCTTACACGATGCAGCTCGCACCATATGCCTTACACCACACCGCTTGCGCCACATAGCTTGCCCCGCACAGCTGACACCACGTAGCTTACGCATCCACAGCGCAATAACTTACTGTTCGGGGTCCACGCTGGCAAACATGTGCCCCTTTTCTTGTTCTCTCCGCTTCACAGCTGAATGCGTACTATTTTGAAAAGAGGGGTTCCAGCTGTCGATCCTCCTTCTCTTCCTCCTCCTCCTCCTCCTCCTCCTCCTCATTCTCCCCTCTTCCTCCCCTCCTCCTCCACCTCCCCTCCTCTTCCTCCTCAACCTCCTCCCCTCCTCCTCTTCCTCCACCACCTCCCCTCCTCTTCCTCCCCTCCTCCTCCCCTCATTCTCGTCCACCCCCCCGTGGCCATCAATCTCCCCCTTCCCCATGCGCCTTTTTTGGCCAGGGTGCCTCCCCTTCTCATTGGCCCCTTCCTCCCCACTCCCCCATTCGGGGTACTCCTCTCACTCTCTTCTCTTTCCCTTCTCTTTCCCCCCTCTCCCTCCCTTCCTCCCCCTTTCCCCCCATCTTTCCCCCCCCCGCCTCTCTCCTCTCCTCTCCCTCTCCCTCCTCTCCTCCCTTCCCGCTCCCCCTTCGGGATACCCCCCCTCTCCTTCCCCTCTCTTTCCCCCCCCCTCCTCCTGCGGCTGGAGCTGCCCGGGAGCTGGCGCTTGATTCTAGACCACGCCCACATGGAATCTCCCCTTCTCTCCCTCTCCCTCTCTCCCCCATCGCTCGGGTTCACCCGGCTGCGGCTGCGGACCTCCTTCGAATGCTGACCCCCCGCAGACGTTTCAGAAATCTGACTTGCAGGGTCAGGGTTCACGCGTGGTGCCTTTCGTGTGCGCGCCGCCATCTCCCCTCTCCCGCTCACCCTCTGCTCCCTCCTTCTGCCGCTGCTGGCAGGTCGCGAAGGCGGGCTTCGTCTCGCCGTCCGAGATTCAGGCGGGAACCTGAAGAACGATGAGGAGCAGCAGCAGCAGCAAAAAGGAGGAGGAGAAGGGGGAGGAGGAGGAGGAGGAGGAGGAGGAGGAGGAGGAGGAGGAGGAGGAGGAGGAGAAGAGGAAGACGGGCGAGAGATGATCGAGAAGCGATTGTGGAGGGAGGGGGTTGCGGACCCTGTAGAATTTGTGCAATCATGGCGCCGCCAAGGCGGTTCAAGCTTGTTTTGGACATCCGAAGCCATATCTCTCTCATGCTACTCCCTCTCTGTCTACTTCGTGTTGTATATATATATATATACACATCCCTCTCTTTGTATAAATACATGTATACATGTGTATATATATGTATGTATGTGTATGAACATATATATATATATATATATACATATCTACATATATATATATATATATATATATATATATCGATACTGAATAGCTCTCTCTCCCTCTCTCACTATCTATCTGTCGTTGTCTTGTGGATTTATTTCTCTCTATAGATGGGCATACAAGACTGAATTAGCGCTTCGCGCCATGCACCTTAGTCCTTGAAGTTTGACGTGCAGGCGGAAGGGCAGGACGGTAACACAGACAATGTAGCGATGATGTCTTGTTGTCTTTTCCGACATCACCGTTATCATCATGTTAGTCCTTATGTTTATTGCCATGTTTCCTTTTCCTCGTTATCGTCCTACCCCTTGGATTAAAAAGTGGTGATCGGCACTATGCCAGGGAACACCCCCTGGGTCTTCGCCAATCGAAAGAAAACTCAAGCATCGACCGTCGATCGATCCCAAGTAACTCCCAGACAGAGTCGTGGCCCGAACGGAGGAGCGGCGACGGGGGGATGGACAAGACGCGCGGTTGTGAGGACAGCCCAAGCCAAGGCGCCACTCTGTGGCGGTGTGAAAGGCGGTCAGAAAATACCCTGCGAGGAATTCTCAGGCGATGTCGCTGCTCTCAAGCGGCATGGAGATGATCGGACATTTTTTCTGAGGAAGTCCCACGCGAAATCGCCACTTTCAGATGCCGCGGCAAATTCTCAGATCGCCCTGGACGGCGATCTGACATTTATTTTGCGGAAATCTCAGGCGGAATCGCATTTTCAGACGTTGACCCCATTTGGCAGTTATACTATTAAAAGGGGTGAGAGATGCATCCGAAATTCCTGAATCGGCCCCGAGTCCAACATTGTCCCGGGGCCCCGTGGCCTAACGGGAGGCCAACCACGTTTTTCTCGATCCCCATGGTCTCCACTTTCTAATCCAGCGGGTTGTACCTTAAGAATTCTTGCACATCGTGCTCAGCTATTTTTTGCGGAGGCTCCTCCTTGGAGAGCTTCTTGGGGCTTCGCGAAAGTTTTTTCGGCAACACCCCAACATACTTATACTATATGTGCGTCGCCCCCCCAGGGGCGACGCGCGCACCGAGGAATCTTATAGTATATGCGTCGTGGCGGGCGCTTTCTGGCCACACCGCTCGGGAAACGATATACTACAAGATGGGTATACTATATGTTCGGGTCGGACGCGCGCCTCCAAGGAGGACATATAGTACTAGTATGTCCATGTGCGTCCCATTTTTCACAACCATCGTGTGTTGAGTTGGGCCATCGTTTTGAAGAGACGGTGCCCCGCGTTCTCCTCCTCCTCCTCCTCCTCCTCCTCCTCCCCTCCTCTCCTCGTCCTCCTCCTCCTCCTCCTCCTCCTCCTCCTCCTCCTCCTCCTCCTCCCCTCCTCTCCTCGTCCTCCCCCGCCTCCCTCCTCCCGTCACCCCCTCACTGTGGCACACCCCTCCCGCGCTTCGTGGCCCCTTAGGGAGCTCCACCGAAGGCGCCAGCGGTTTCGCATACCGCCTCCTGTCCACTTTGGCACACCCCTCACACGTTTCGTGGCCTCATAGGGATCTCCTCCGAAGGCGCAAGTGGCTGCGTTAACATGCCGCCTCCTGTCCACTTTGGCCCACCCCTCACACGTTTCGTGGCCCCATTGGGAGCTCCACCCAAGGCCCCAGTGATTGCGTTCGCATGCCGCCCCCCCCGTCAATTTGGCACACCTCTCACGTGTGTCGTGGCCCCATAGGGAGCTCCACAGAAGGCGCCAGTGGCTCCGTTCGCATGCCGCCCCCTGTCCACTTTGGCACTCCCCTCACACGTTCCGTGGCCTCATCGAAATTCTCCTCCGAACTCGCCAGTGGCTGCGTTCACATGCCACCTCCTGTCCACTTTGGCCCACCCCTCACACGTTTCGTGGCCCCGTTGGAGCTCCACCAAAGGCCCCAGCGGCTGCGTTCGCATGCCGCCTCCTGTCCATTTTGGCACACCCTTCACGTGTGTCGTGGCCCCAAAGGGAGCTTCACCCAAGGCCCCACTGGCTGCGTTCACATGTCGTCTCCCCCGCCCAGTACAACGTTTCGTGGCCCCATAAGGGGGCTCCACCGAAGGTTGTGGTGGCGGTGTCCGCATGCGCTTCCCCCACCCAGTACAACGTTTCGTGGCCCCATGGGGAGCTTCTCCGAAGGCCCTAGTGTCGGTATCAGTGTCCGCATGCGTTTCCCCACCCAGTACAGCGTTTCGTGGCCCCACAAGGAACTCCTCCGAAGGCCCCAGTGGCGGATTCCGCATGCGTTCCCCCCGCCCAGTACAGCGCTTCATGGCCCCATAGGGAGTTCCACCGAAGGCTTCAGGGGCGGCGTTCGCATGCGTCCCCTCCGCAACGTTTCGTGGCCGCATAAGGAGCTCCACCGAAGGCCTCAGCGGCGGGGCTCGCATGCATTTCCCCCACTCAGTACAATGATTCGTGGCCTCATAGGGAGCTCCACCGAAGGTCGCAGTGGAGGTGTCCGCATGCGTCCCCCCCACTCAGTACAGCGCTTCGTGGCCCCATAGGGAGCTCCACCGACGGCGCCAGTGGCGACGTTCGTATGGCGGCCCCAGTCCATTTCGGCACACCCCTCACACGTTTCATGGCACCATAGGGAGCTTCACCGAAGGCACCAATGGCTGCGCCCGCATGCGTCCGCTTCGTGGTCCTATAAAGAGATCCACCGAAGGCGATACCCACAACGGCGATACTCACAACTGCATATGGTTGGGCCCTTCGCCAGGATGATTAAGGCTTTCTTATTATGTCCTTCTGGAGGCCTCCTGGGCGCCTTCTGGGGGCCTCTGGGAGCTTCTTCGGGCCACCCTGCTTCCAACCGCCGTCTCCCTGACTGACCAGGTCACGATTTGGAATGCTTCGTGGGGCATCTTGGGGCCATCTTGGGCCGTCATGGGGCTCTCTTCGGGCCATCTTGGAATCCTGTTGTGCCGTCTTGGGGTTCTCTTGCACTGCCTGAAAGCCCTTTCGGGTGGTTTTGGGGCGATTTTCGGGCCTCCTAGGCGGTCTCGGACGCCCAGAAGATGCAAGTACAGGGCATTCCCCAAAAATCATTCAAAACTTTTTGGTGAAGCAATCTATTCTGTGTTTTGAAAGCATCTTGGGCGATCTTCTTTGGGTCGTCTTCGGGCCTCTGGTGGGTGTCTGGGGCCTCTTGGGGGCCTCGGGAGGGTGTTCGGCCGCCCTCCTTATCGATTTAAGCACGTTGCGGAGGCCCAGCAGGGCTTCCAGGAACTCTGAAAAGCTTGGGGGGCTTCCTGCTGGGGCGCCCAGGGGGCCCCCTCGGGCCACGGATCCGGGGGGTCAGTTTTTTTGGGAGGGGGGGGGATTTCCGCAGTGTGTGGATTCATGAAACTACCCAGGCGAAAGACCCAACCATATGCAGTTGTGACTACAGCCGTTATGAGAACCGCCTTCGGTGGATCTCCCTGCGGGGCCACGAACCGTGGGAAGGGAGCGCCGAAAGGGGGCGGGGCCGCCATGCGGCCGCTGCCACTGGGGCCGCTCGCGGGGGGCGCGGAGGGCAGACAAAACGGGCTACGCGCTGGGACTTTTGCGTGTCAATGGTAGGAAGAGCCGACATCGAAGGATCAAAAAGCAACGTCGCTATGAACGCTTGGCTGCCACAAGCCAGTTATCCCTGTGGTAACTTTTCTGATGTAACCTTACCCACTGAGGCTGACAGGCACTGGAAGAAGCGGGAGGAAGACATGCGGGCGTAGCCATTGACGGCCTTCGGTGGAGTTCCCCATGGTGCCATGAAGCGCGTGAGGGGTGCGCCAAAATGAGGGGGGTGGCGGCATACCATCGCAGCCACCGGCGCCTTCTGTGGAGATCCCTATGGGGTCATGCAACGTGTGAGGGGTGCGCCAAAGTAGGGGGGGGGCGGCATGCGAACGCAGCTACTGACGCCTTCGGTGGAGCTCCCTATGGGGCCACGAAACGTGCGAGGGGTGCGCCAAAGTAGGGGGGGTGGCGGCATGCGAACCGCAGCCAGTGGGGCCTTCGGTGGAGCTCCCCATGGGGCCACGAAGCGTGTGAGGTTTGTGCCAAAATGGCGGCATGCGAACGCAGCCACTGAGCCTTCGGTGGAGCTTCCCATGGGGCCCCGAAACACGTGCGGGGTGTGCCAAAGTGAAGGGGGTGGCGGCATGCGAACGCAGCCACTGGCGCGTTCGGTGGAGATCGCTATGGTGTCATGCAACGTGTGAGGGGTGCGCCAAAGTAAAGGAGGTGGCGGCATGCGAACGCAGCCGCTGGGGCCTTGGGTGGATCTCCCAATGGGGCCACGAAGCTCGTGAGGGGTGCGCCAAAGTAGGGGGGTCGGCATGCGAACGCAGCCATTGGGGCCTTCGCTAAAGCTCCCCATATGGCCACGAAACGTGTGAGGGGTGTGCAGTGTGCCGAAGTGAGGGGGGTGGCGGCATGCGAACGCAGCCATTGGTGCCTTAGGTGGAGCTCCCCATGGGGGCCCGAAGCGCGTGAGGGGTGTGCCAAAGTGGGGGTGGCGGCATGCGAACGCGGCCGCTGGGGCCTTCAGTGGAGAACCCGATGGGGCCACGAAACGTGTGAGGGGTGCGCCGGAAAAAATGCGGATGGCAGGGGCAAGGGTGGGAGGAGGGAAGAGGGGGAGGAGGAGGAGAGGAGGAGACGCGGGGATTGTCTCTTAAGAACGAGGACCCACCTCAACACAGGATGGCTGGGATATACATATATGGATATAACTATATCTATACATATATATATATATATGTACATATTTCTATGTTTACATATATATATATATATATATATATATATATATCATAAAAAAAGAATACGCCCTCCCTCCTCAAGGCCCGGGGGTCCCCCTGTGCGACAAGGATGAGAACCCACACGGAATTGAGCACCGACACACGCCTGGCAACTCTGGTTTGGTGGGTGTTCCATGCTTGGGGTTGGGCACGCTGTCACAGCAGCCCCCCCCGCGCAATTGCTGGTCATTGCCCGCCCCAAGTTGGAGTACTATGTGGCCCAGAACAACGCGGTGGAGCTAAGCGTGAGGGGTGAGCGAGCGAAGCGTGACAGAAACATGCGATATTCGACCAGACAGTTGACTGGCACTCTAACGCTCCGACGTGCCGAGGGCAGGGTGGCGGATCATCATCGCCAGCATGTTCGGAGGTATTGCTCAGTGTCAGTTGGGAATGGTGGCGCGGACGACAATACAACACAGCTGAAGTTCTGATGTGCGCATGTTGGGAGTGCTGCTGGCCATAGAAGCAGTTCAGGATGGAGAGTGGGCAGAGCACAGTCAGCGCGCATAATAAGGATGACTGGATTTCCCAAGGGTGCCCTTGCTTCCTTGCCTCTTCGACCCGTCCTTTGCCGATTTCCTTGGTCGTGCGCCGCTGGAAAGCCCCAGTTTGGGCGTCCAGGGGGCTTGCATCCTTACTGCGCATCCTTTTCATACCTTTGTGGCCGTAAAGCTCAGCCCACCACAGTGCAAAAGGTGAGGGACAGAGAGAGAGAGAGAGAAAGAGAGAGAGCGAGAGAGTGTGCGAGCTCAGGCGTATTCGTGGCCTCTCGCATTCCAGGGCAAGGACGTCATCGGAGTTGCTGCCACGGGCAGTGGAAAGACGCTCGCGCGACTGGGCTGGCCAGAAATCTTACAGCTTGCAGTGGAAGAGTGGAAGATGAAGACGAGGACGAGGACTACGAGAGGAGGAGGAGGAGGAGGAGGACCAATGCAAACCCAAGATGCATCGACGATGTTGCAGTACTCCTTCTCTCCAAGTTCCCTCACAGCTCCCTAAAAGGAGCTCATGCTTATTGCGGGGAGTGGCCCATCAGAAAACAATTGGTTGATAATTTTCAATCGTGCCAAAACACAGTTCTTGGGACTTCAGCGCCGCGGATCAACGTGAGTGTTACGTATTGACAATCCGAAGCCGTGCCAGAACGCTGTTCTTGGGACTTCAACACCGCGAATCAGCGTGACAGTTAGTTACTGAAAATATTTAATCGTGCCAGAAACCTTTCCTGGTATTTTGGCCATATGAATCAGTGAAACAGTTGCAAACGTTAAAGACGAATGTGCGCGGCGCTACGGCGAGAGCCAAATTTTGAAAAGGAACCGCCCTCCATCCGTGAAGCTGCTGCAAACTTTTTGGACGAATGTACGGGGCGCTAAGGCGAGAGCCACATCTTGAAAAGGATCCGCCCTGTCTCAGTGAAGCTGCTGCAAACGTTCAATTCGAATGAGCGCGGCGCTCAAGCGAGAGCCAAATTTTGAAACGGAACCGCCGTCCAACCGTGAAGTTGCTGCAAACGTTCAATGCGAATGTGCGCGGCGCTAAGGCGATAGCCACATTCTGAACAGGAAACGCCCGCCAACCGTGAAGCTGCTGCAAACGATCAATCCGGATGTGCGCGGCGCTAAGGCGATAGCGACATTTTGAAAAGAAACCGCCCTCCAGCGGTGAAGCTGCTGCAGACGTTCAATGCGAATGCGCGCGGCGCTAACGCGAGAGCCACATCTTGAAAACGGCCCGCCCTCCATCCGTGAGACTGTTGCAGATTTCCAGCATCAGGGTACTCACTGGCGGGGACGTCAGGCGAAACGCCAGTCCCGCCCCACCGACACGTCTGGGGATTTGGCAGGGAGGAGCTGCTTCTGAGGAAAAGGGACGGAGGCGCAGCTCCGACGCTGTCACGGTGAGGCAGCCGGGGATCGGCCCTGCTGCTCCTCGCAGCCTCCGGGAGCACCCCCCCGAAGCCTTCGAGATTCCCCTGGGAGCCGCAGGGCCGCTCCGAGGGAGGAGCACCACCTTCTCCCTGCCTTCCTGAGGCAGTCCAGATGCTGAAGCGAGCAGGACCACTGAGAGGGCTCAGGAGGGGCTCTGTTTTTTCGGGTCTTCTGCAGGCTCAGGTCGGGGAACCTATTCGTATTCGTGGGCGACGCTCGCAGGGGCCTGAGACGCCCCTTCGCTCTCAGTTCAGCCGTCCGCATGGTGGCACGATAGGGGTAAGGTGTTCAGTAGGAGTTCGCCCGACTTCAGCGGAGGAGGAGGAGGAGGAGGAGGAGGAGGAGGAGGAGGAGGAGGAGGAGGAGGAGGAGGAGTTGTCCGCAGCGCGAGGCGCTGGCAGAAAGTGCGCAGTGCGTGCGGATCGCTGCCGATCGCGGCGGCGCTTTCGGGAGCCGGCCAGACGCCCCGCGCTCCATCGTTGCGACGCGGACCGGCTGCGGAGGACCACGACCGGCGGTTCAAAGTTGGGGGGCCCCGAGGGATGGGGCCTTGTGGGATGGGGCCCTCAGGACGAGGGGCCTGAAAGAATGTAGAATCAGCGTTGGAAACCTTCTCATCCAAAGGGCCCCATCCCTCGCTGCCCCATCTTTGAGCCGCCGATGGAAGGAGGGAGAGAACTGTGAATCTCTTGCATCCAGGGGGGACTTCCTCGGGCGCCCCTCGTCGCCGGACTGGGTTCGCCTCGAACTCTTCGCCATGAGCCCATTCCAGGAGAGATACGGGGGCCGAATTTGAGGAAGAGGAGGGAGACACTGACATTCGCGGGCGTCGTGGCGCCCTGCTCGGACCTGTGGGCTCATCGCGCGAGGGCTCTCTCTCGGACTGAGGCTCGTCGTCGCCTGTTGCTCGTCGTCGCCCGTCGCTCGTCTTGGCCGTCGTCATAACGCGTCTTTCTTTTGATTTTCCCCAGACAGTGCTGACACTTGGGGTTCCTTACTTCTCCTCTAACGAACTTGGCATGAAACTTGGCCTGGCGGCTATGTCGTCGCCGTCGCTGCCCCATCGCCGCCTCGTCGCCGCCCGTCGTCTGGGCCTGAAACTTGGTCTGGCGTCGTCGGCGTCGCCGCCCCGTTGCCGCCTCGTCGCTGCCTGTCGCCTTCCCCGAACAGTGCTTGCACTGAGGGGTTCTCAGGCCTTTTCAAAGGAACTGGGCCTGAAACCTGGTCTGGCGGTTATGTCGCCGCCGTCGCCGCCTCGACGCTGCCCGTTGTCTGGGCCTGAAGCTTTGTCTGGCGGCTATATCGTCGCCGTCGCCGCCTCGTCGCCGCCCGTCGTTTGGGCCTGGGTGCCGGTCTGGCGGCTCCGTGGTCGCCGTCGCCGCCCCGTCGCCGCGTCGTCGCCGCCGCCCGTCGCCTGGGCCTTGCTGCGCAGTGCAATCCAATCGATTGCAATGCAATCGCTTGCAATGCAATCGATTGCAATCGATTGCACTGCATAGATGCCACCACATATATTGTAACATAGCTTACACGACTGCTATCCAATCGATGCAATCCAATCGATAGTAATCCAATCGATTGTAATCAATTGACTGCACCGCATAGCATAGGTCACACCACATAGCTCACACCACATAGACGAGTACGTAGCTCCTACCACATAGATTGCACCACATGGCTTATGCCAGAATTGTTTAGCTCTCTTTGCATCGATATATATATATATATATATACATATACACATATATATAGATAGATACATAGATATTTCAAACACTGCTTGTACTTAAGGGTTCTTACTTCTGGTCTAAAGAACTGGGCCTGGGTGCCGGCCTGGCGGCTCCGTGGTCGCCGTCGCCGCCCCGTCGTCTCCTAGATAGCACAAGAGACTGCACCACAAATGTTGCATCGCAGAGACTACGCCACATATGTTCTCCTTTCTCAAAAGAGAATAGACTCTACCCCCCCCCGGCGTTATCGCCCCCCCTTTTCGGGTATGCAAATCACATATGATTCTGACCACATGTCCATCCTAAATATGAAATCACAATGTCCCAGGCCAAACGGGTTCCCCCCCTTGAGGTTCCCTTGCAAAACACTATGCGATGACATTTTTGGTTCTAACATAACACTGTTTCACGAATCCCTTGCGAAAAATGGGACGAAGTGCGCACGCGCGCGTCGTCACGCGCGCATGCCGAAATCCTTCAAAAACCTTCGGTGCCAGAAGGATTTCGCAATCGAGTTCCCAAAAAACATACAAAACCATAGGGTTTCGCAACACTGATTTGCTAAAAAAACTTCCGCACGAGCTCTTGCGAAATCTTGAGAAAACCATAGGTTTTTCAAGATTTTCACAACATGCTACCAAACGGGCTTCGCGCGCGCGCATGTCGAAATTTGTCGAACGCCCTTGCGCGTGTGTCGTCGCGAGAATCCTCTGCAACAAATGGGACGAAGTGCAGACGCGCGCGTCGTCGCGCGCGTATGCCGAAATCCTTCAAAACCCATCGGTTTCGGAAGGATTTCAAAATCGTGTGTCCAAAAAACCTACAAAAACAGAAGGTTTCGCAACACGGATTTTCAACAAAAGCGTGCGCGCTCTTGCTAGCTCCGGCCTTGGGCAGGGTCGGGCTGAGCTCGCAGGGCTGACGGGGGGCCGGGGGGGGACTCGCGCCGATCGCCTGCGCAGCACGGAGGCGCGAGTGTTCGCAACCCCCCCCCCCTTCTCCGCGCAACGCCACGCGCGAAAATTCTGTTTCTCCCAATGTGGGAGCGCCTTTTTGCGCAGTTTTCTTGCTCGCTTGGCGCGGCGGAACGCGGTGGGCGAGGAGAACGCCCAGGACGCGGCCGCCGCCCTCGGCCGGAGGGGAAGGAAGAAGGGACGTCTCCCAAACAGAGCTTGCACCCGCGGGGGCCCTGGGATCAGTGCCCGTGTGGGCGCCGGTGTTTCCTAGGGTCGCGGCCTGTGCGTGCTTGCGCTGAACTGATTGGGGTCCCCGAAAGCGACGAGCGCGGCCCCGGCTCTCAAACCGTAGCCATATCGGGTCAAAACCCACGCGATGTGGACGCGGGATCCGATTGCCAGGCACTGCCTCGGTGCGGTGCACCCCGCGCTGGTGGTCCCTGGCGATGAGAACGAATGCCGCCCTGGCCAGGTGCACCGAATGCGCGCGGGACCACGGTCACCGCTGCGCAGAGAACCCTTGGGCGAGAGGCGGGCGCTCTGCCGGCAGCCAGTGAATGCGCGACGCGCAGAGAGGCGCAGCCGCTCACGAACACCTCGAAGGGAGCTGGCGGAACATGCAGGGCCAGCGCCAGCGCAGGCACGCGCGCCCGTCATACCACGGGCAGGAAGTGCATCGGTGGGCGGCAGGCGCGGGGCCCACAAGCTGAGGGCGAAGCAGGTGTACACGCGGCATGGCGAGCTACGGACAGTCGGGATACAACAAGCAACGTCTGCGTGGGCAACCATACTGCAGTTGGTAGGTGGCCCCGCCCAGAAGCTCCTCGAGCGCTTGCGAGCGGGCGGGACGCGCGGCCACCTGGGCGTCATGCTGAGGAGATGGGCGCACCGAACGGCGCTGCGGCGCGCTAAGAAGGCCATGGGATTCATTTCATGGTATGAAGTTCAGCACGGGCACTGGCCGCGTGGAGAACCTTTGCCAGGGGCGGAAGAGCGACTGATCGAGTTCCTGCATGTCATCATTGGCCAGGGCGTCCAGGCCACAGTGCCCACGGCGAAGCTAAGGTCGATTACGTTTCTGAATCGTATAGCAGACCTGCAACCAGCACTGCCCACGACGAAACTGTCGGCGCAGGCCGCAAACGCGGCGCATCGGCGAGACGGCCAACGACGAAGGAGGCGCTCGACGGTATACACCGTGCCTGAAGTTCCGCTGCCCGAAGAGGCAGCGGCGAATGCCGAAGACATCATGGACCGCGTCGTGGCATGCGCCGAGCTTCAAAAGTTTTTTACGCAGCCCTGCGCAACGATGACGCCACGTGGGACCTCAACGGCAAGTGGTCCTTCCAGGGCGGCAGCGCAGGCGTTTGGTGCGGAGTATGCTCATGCACGAAGGCGACTGAGGCGACCGCGACCCGACTGCCGAAGGAGATGCCGTGGGTCGCCTTGGTCCAGGGCATCGCGCGACCGCCGAAAAATTGGAGTCGCATGGCAAAAGACGACCTGCGGACGCTGGGAATCACAGACAGCGACGAGTACGCCCTAGCATCCCCTGTCAATGTGCGGCTGGGGATCCGGCGGCCAGGAGCCGCGGCGGGGCCGGAGTGGCAGATTGCGCTTGCCAAGACTTTGCGCTCCATCGGATTTGCGCCGGACAGAAGTCGGGTCATCACCCTGCACTCCGCGAAGAATCAGGAGGGAAAGACGCACGCAGACACAATTAATCGTCGACCCCCAGGAAAAGATAGGAAAATATCGGAAGTGGGTTTCCCCCCTGAGGTTCCTTTGTAAAAAACCTTATGCGATGCGGTGACATTCTATGTTCTAACACGGCACAGTTTCACGAATCCCTTGTAAAAAATGGGACGCAGTGCGCGCGCGCGCCGTCGCGCGCGCATGCCGAAATCCTTCAAAAACCTTCCGTTCCGGAAGGATTTCACAATCGAGTTTCCGAAGAACATACAACAACGCAGGGCTTCGTAACACTGATTTGCTGAAAAAACTTACGCCCGAGCTCTTGCGAAATCTTAAGAAAACCATTGGTTTTTCAAGATTTTCACAACATGCTACCAAACGGGCGTCGCTCGCGCGCATGTCGAAATCTGTCGAACGCCCTTGCGCGTGTGCCGTCGCGAAAATCCCTTGCAAAAAACGGGACGAAGTGCAGACGCGCGCGTCGTCAAGCGCGTACGCCGAAATCCTTCAAAACCCATCGGTTTCGGAAGGAGTTCAAAATCGTGTGAAACCTACAAAAACACAAGGTTTCCGCAGCACGGATTTTCAACAAAAGCGTGCGCGCGCGCTTTTACGGCGTCGTCGTCGTCGTCGTCGTCGTCGTCGTCGTCGTCGTCGCCGTCCTCCCTCCTCCCGCGTCGTCGTCGTCGTCGCCTACGTCGTCCTGTGTCTTTCCTCGTGTTCGTCGTCGTCGTCCTCTTTGGCGTCGTGGTCGTTTCCGTCGTCGTTGTCGCCGTGGTCGTCCTTCCTCCTCCTCCCTCGTCGTCGTCGTCGTCCGTCGTCGGCGTCTCGTCGTCGTCCCTCCTATTTCGTCGCCGTCGTCGTCGTCGTCGTTGTCGTCGTCGTCGTCGTCTTCCCTCCTCCCTCGTCGTTGTCGTCGTCGGCGTCGCCGTCCTTCCTCCTTCGTCGTTCGCGTCGTCGCCGTCCTCCCTCCTCCCTCGTCGTTGTCGTCGTTGTCGTCGTTGTCGCCGTCGTTGTCCTCCCTCCTCCCTCGTCGTCGTCTTCGTTGGCGACGTCGTCGTCGTCTTCGTCGTCGTCGTCGGCGTCGGCGTCGTCGTCTTCGTCGTCGTCGACGTCGGCGTCGTCGTCGTCACCGCCGTCGTCGTCGTCGTCGTCGTCGTCGTCGGCCGTCTTGCTTCTCCGGCCTTCTTGGGGCGCTCTTGAGACGCCTCCGAGGGATCCAAGACGACCCTGGAGCGATATCTGTGCTCGGTCCCGCATGGGTTTTGCAAACCAAGTTGCCGGGTGGGTGGGTGGGATGATTGCACGAGCAGTGGAGTTGACAACTGCAAGTTCGGCAAGTGAATTGCACGACATAGGTTGCGCCACGCTGAGTGCACCGCATATATATTGCACGACGTAGGGTCCACAACGCAGGTTGCACAACAGAGACTGCACCACGTCGATTGCACCACGAATATTGCGCACCACATAGAGTGCACGTCATGCATTTCACAACAAAGATTGCACAACATCTTTTGCACTAATTGCATACATTGCAACACACGGCGTGGCACCGAGTATACTGCTCCACACATATGGCACGACATAACTGGCACATCATGTTGCACAACATAGGTTGCACCACGGAGACCGTACCACATATATTGCTCCACATAAGCTGCACGAGATATATTGCTAGAAACGCACTGTTTGGGGTCCACGCTGGCTAACATATCTTTGCTATTGTCGTAGGCGCTGGGCCGCCTCTGCTCCATGCTATACGTCCCTCGCCTCCCCCCCATCCGCACTTTGCTCCCTTCCCCCTCGCCCTCTCGTGCCAACCCTAGCTCGACTCCGTTCTCCCCGCTTCCCGCGCCGGGCCTCGCGGCGAGCCAGGTTCCTCTTCCCCGCGTTCAAGCACATCCTGGACAACCGGATCCCCGCTCGCGATCCGGCGCTCGCCCTGGGCCTCGGGCTTCTGAATCTGTGCATCGGATGTTGCCAGGGGCTTGGCATCGCTCGGACGTGTGCATTTTTCCTTCGGCGAGGACCATCGAGGAGCATCCTTGATCATTTGGCGGAAAAAACCACGCACGAAACCGAAAAAAAACACAGGGAATGGACGTCCGAGCGATGGCGAGGGGGTGTCCTTGGCCCAAGGTGCCCAAGCCGTCTCCGGAGCACCTCGTGGGCGAAAATCACATCCGTGTCCGCGGCCTCGCGGGCCGGGCCCCCGGGCCGCGCCCCCGCGGATACCGGGCGTTTCTCCGCGGATGCCCCGCGGACCGTGTCCGTGCGATTGCGTCTCCGCGGGAGTACGCCCCAGAGTCCAGACCGCGAGGGCGCGGATGCGGACACAGCTCACACAGAGGGTGAGGAGGAGCGGCTCTGCAAGGCCATACCCTTGCATCCTTCCCCTTCGGCCCATCCCTCGGCCACTGCCGCTGGCCCCGCCCCGCTCGGCAAGTGTCGGCATGGCCTTCCGAGGCCCCCTTTGCACCTTTCTCGTGCATCCTGATGATGCTCGCAAGCCTAGAGATTGACACCAACACCAATATCGGCGGTGTGCCTCCACCGAGGGAGGAAAATCCTGGTCTCGGTGATGGTGGCAATATTCTGGCTTCCAAGGTGACCGAACTATTGCCACCGACACCGAAATCTAGGATCATCTTCCCCCCTGTGGAGGCAAACCCCTGTGTGGGTGTTGGTGCCCATTTCCAGGCCTCCAAGATGCGCGTGGACTGTGCGCTCGCCGCTCGGGAGCACACCCCTCGCGAGGCCCAGACAGCGCCCAGGGGGCTCCGCAGGGGCTCCGCAGTGCGAGCGCGTCGCGCGCACCGCGCGCCTCGCCGCGGGCGGCACGGGCGGCCGTGCTGCTCCTGCCGGGCGCCGCGTCCGCTCCGGAGTTCCGCCTGTTTCAAGCAGTGGCGAAGCCTCCTGGCTCGCCTAAAGCCCTACCAAACAATGGTCTAAGAATCGGGGGCGGACAGAACCCCCAACAGTGACACGTCGATTAGTGAATTGTCCGTTTTCGGTTCTCGAGAGGGCGCCGTGGCCGTTATTTTCCAGGCTTGCGCCCGCCGGGTTTGGGCCCGAGGTCGTTTTCACTAAACCACGTTTTGCTAAAGGGGGTTCTGTCCATCCCCGACTATAGCCCTACCAAGTACAATGTTCTGAGAACCTCTTGTGGTTTCCACGGGATGTTCTTAGAACATTTTTCTGGCTGGGACTGTCCAGCTTTAACACATCGGGCTTACGCTCCAAGAACAGTGTTTTTGTTCTTAGAGCATTTTTGGGTTCTAAGAACATTTCGTGGTATGACTGTAGGAATGCCGGGACGGTCGGTCCCTGCTCAATTGTTGCGGTGGGCTTGCGCCGCGTTGACGCGGCGGCGACCCCGGCGCGGGCGTTCCAGGCCGCCAGCGGCCCAGAATCGGCCGACGTCGAGCGGTCTGCGCCAGCGGAGAGCCGCGACCGTTCAAGGCGGAGCGATCCACGCGGCGTCCGGAGCCAGCTAAGGCCCGCGACAGCGCGACGCGAACCAGCCGTAGGTCTTCGAATGTCTCCCAATGCATACAGGAAATGGCTTGGAGTTGCCCTTCGGGGGAGAAGGTCCTCCAGGAAACCCCGGACACCCCGGACACCCCGGTCGACCGACAGGAAGGTTTCGACGCAATGGAAAGGGACGCGTCTGAGGCGCAGGATGTGAGATGTGGCGCGAGTGCACCTGGCTTGCCTCCTCCCTCCCCTCTCTGTCCCTCCTTCCACAGACCCCCGACGTCGTGATTCCAGAACGTCAACCCCCAGAGGTCCAAATCTCTTGCCCGGGACCGGTTTTTCATACTGAGTCGTTTTTTGACGGTCCCGGACCAGGTACGTACGGGCCTCCAGAGGCCGAAGAGAGCGAAAAACACTCCGTCGTGATTTTTGTCACTTTGCGAGGGGGTCTGTGTTCACACCTACACAGTCAACGCGCATAGTAAGGACGCGCGCCTTCTCTAGGGTGCCCTTGTAACTTTGCCTCTGCGGCCCGTCCTTTGCCGTTTCCGTTGGGGTTTTGGTCGCCCGCCGCCCAAAAAACACCCAATTTCGACCTCCAAGGGTCTGGCGTCCTTGCCACCCGTCCTTAGCATTCGTTTTCGCAGTAGTACCCCCCCGACTGTGCTGTCCGCCCGACGCCAGCCAGTGGGGCTCCCCCGCGCTCGTCGTGCCGCCCACCCGCTGTCCCGACCTGGGGCGCGCGGGCGTGCCACCGGGAGGGCGCTCCGCGCGGAGCTCCCGCCGACCCCTCGATCCTCCGCCTCATCGACCTTCGACCACCCTCGATCCCTCGCTCCTCGATTCTTAGGCCTCCTGGGGTCGGAGTAAATTCGGTCGGAGGATCGCGCCGCACCGCCGATGCACCGGCGATGCATCAGCGATGCGGCTCGATGTGGGGCCCAATCTTCCACGCCGACGTCGCCGATGCATCGCCGACGTCGCCAGTGCATGGCCGATGCATCGCCGATGCATCGGCGATGCGTTGCCGATGTATCGGCGACGCGGCGAGATCCTCCGACCCCGTCTACTAGGACCCCATTTAGGAGACCTCTATCGATCCCAGACCCCCTCGGGTCATGAAAAGATCGCGACGGCAGGTTTGTTGCTACTCTCGGCCTCCAGGTGTCCTCTCGGAGCCTCGGGACCGTCAACAAGAAGACTCGGGATGAAGAACCTGTTCCCGGGAATGGGTCGAGACCTCTGGGGGTTGACCGACGACCCCTCTCGTGGATCAGAGGGCACTGATTGTGGTCAGCAGCAGAAGCAGCAACGGCAGGGCTGTCGTCCATCGTGCCTTGCCGATCGTTCTTCGTGTCCGGTAGCCTGCCCACCTCGCGTCGAGCATGCTCTTCTACCGCGAAAATGCTGATACGGCCAGCTTCGGGCCGATAAAGAAGCCGTCCTGTAAACATGTGGTTCCGGTCGCTTTCTGCCTTTGGCCGATACCAGTGGCGTTTGGGGCGTTCACCAGCAGTGGATGATGAGTAGTAGTTGGTCTGTTGTCTTGATACGTTCGCATACTTGTTCAGATTTGTACATCATTTGTTTGGTCCGTATGTTTGGCATGGCTCAAGTCGTTACCCGTCGTCGAAATAGAGATCATGCGTCTGTGATTGAACGTGCACTTCCGGTTGGCCGACATCGGCGGAATGACCCAACGATTCCGTGTCCCCCTACTATGACCTCTGGCCCCTCCCGTCACCGCGCCTGGGTCGTGGACCAGGGGCCTCTTGAAGGTTGCTTGGGGAGTTCTTGGCATCGCTCGGACGTGTGCATTTTTCCTTCGGCGAGGACCATCGAGGAGCATCCTTGATCATTTGGCCAAAAAACCACGCACGAAGCCGAAACAAACACAGGGAATGGACGTCCGAGCGATGGCTAGAGTTTCTTTGATTGAACGTTCCCGAGGGGGCAGACACCGCCGCCCCACTTTTTGTTGGAGCCCGTTTGGGGGGGGTCCAGGACGGCCCCAGAGGGTCCAAGAAGACGCGAAGAAGAGCCCAAGAAGATCCCCAAGAGGGCCCGAAGACGAGCGAAGAGGGCACCCAGAGGCGTCGAAGACGGCGGAGGAGACCGAGGAGGGATGCAGAGAGGCAGCAAGGAGCACCGCCAGTTAGTTTTTTGGGGGCCCGATCTGGCGATCCGCTGGCGAGCCGATCCGCTGGCGAGCGATGCGGTCCTGCACCACCTCTCGCGGCATCCTCTTACACCTTGGCCAGTGTAGGAAGCTCTGTGTTGGCGGAGTTCTCGAGCGGCAACACCCGCAACCGATGTGGACTAAAGTCGGCCCTGATTAGTAGGTCGACCCTGCCACCAAATCAAGGGTACCCTTAGGTACCCTTGTGTCCTGTGCCTCGCAACCCGTGCCTCCTGCATCCCCCATGGCAGTGTGGCCCTCGGAAGGGGTCCTGTGCCCTCTCGCGTGCCCTGCCCAATCAAGGCCGACTGCAGGCACAGTGCTACGCCCAGGCGTGTCACAGTCGCCACTCGGTCCAGCCCAGGCCCGCCAGGGGCGGACCGCCCCGCCCCCTGGCTCGACGCCCTCCGCGAGGGCGGCCCGGGCCCGCCCCGGAGAGCCCCCCGCGGCCAGGTGCTCCTCACGCTGGCCCCCACGCGCGAGCTGGCCGTGCAGATCGAGAAGGAGCTCGGAGGAGGAGGAGGAGGGCGAGCAGGGGCGCAGCGTCCCGGCTTGCCGCGTAGGCCCACCAAGGGATAAGAGCCTGTTGTGGTCTGCACGAGATGCTCTCTAGAGCAGTTCTGACTGAGGCTGTCTTGTTTTCACAGACCAGCATTCTGTTCTAAGGAAACGCTTGTGTTTTTCGAAGACTTTTGGGGTTCGAAGGACATTTCGTGGTTGGTTCGTGGTTGGCCTATAGGAATGCCGGGACGGTCGGTCCCTGCTCAAAAAGGCACCCATACCGTTGCCCTTCGCTCGCTTTTGTCTTTTTGGGGCCTCCTGGGAGGCCCCCGTCGCCACCGCTGGATCCGCCGTGACATTCTGGTCAGCACGCACCCCGGGAGAGGTCCACAGAGTAGCATCATCGGTGCCATCTTGGCTTCCCCAGGAGCGGGTGGCCTTCCCTCCCCACCCGTGAGCACACTGGATCCGCCTTCTCTTCGGCCGCCCCCTCCTCCTCCTCCTCCTCGCCCTCCTCCTCCTCCTCCTCCTCCTCCTCCTCCTCCTCTTCCTCTTCCTCCTCCTCCTCCTCCTCCTCCTCCTCCTCCTCCTCCTCCTCCTCCTCCGTGAGAAGGCGGGGCCCCTCCCGCCTCCTCCGCGGCCGCCCCCTCCCCTTCCCCCCCGCTCCCGCGCCGCGTGCCCGGCGCGCCCCGCCGGCCGCCGGAGGCGACGCCCGCGCCCGCGGGCGCGGCCGAGGCCCAGAGCGAGCCTCCGAGCGGCCCGCGGGGCGACGGCGTTAGTCACCACCTACCAAACCACCCCAACCCAACCCGAAGGCCCAAATTTGCCCTCCATTTCCAGTGTGGGGGGGGTCGGGGAACGTTGAGAGAACACGCATGAAGCCCGTACCCCCCCCAACCCGAAAGTCGGGTCTTGGGGTTGGGTTGGGGTGGTCTGGTAGGTAGTTAGGGGGCCGAAGAGTGGCGTGAACGTAGAAACTCGGAGGCCCGCGCGGACTTCTCGGATCGGCGCTGGACCCCCCGAAGAATGACATGAACATAGAAACTCGGAGGTCCGCGCGGATTTCTCGGATCGGCGCTGGACCCCCCGAAGAATGACATGAGCATAGAAACTCGGAGGTCCGCGCGGGTTTCTCGGATCGGCGCTGGACCCCCCTCCCTGGCGCGCGGAGCGCGCCGCCAGGGGGGTCCAGCGCGGATCCGAGGAATCCGCACGGACCGAGTTTTATGCTTCTGTCATTCTTCGTTCCCCTAGGCGTGGTCGTTTGAGGTGCATTTCCGAACAATCCTGGGTCGGGAGATCAGCCAAAGTACGACGGATCTGGAGTCAGGAGTGACCTGTCCTCCCCATCTCGGTCGCCTTTCTTCCCCCTCCTCTCCAGCCCTTCTCCTTCCTCCTCCTCCTCATCCTCCCTCCCTCGCTCCTCTTCCCCCTCCCTCCTACCTCCTCCTCCGTGTCCTCTTCTTAAGCATCGGCCCGAGGCATTCCTCAAGCGTAGGGGCGTAATTCGTCATGTCCTTGGTGTCGTGCTTTGCACCTCCACGCGGTGTTTGAGGGACATCGTGGTTGGTCGGCGCGTCTTGCATGGGCGACCCTTTCGCGGTGACGAAACAAAACCAAGAGTTTCGGAGGTCGGGGGCTGAGATCGCAGTGGAACGGAGACCCCCAACCGGGAAATCGTTTCGTTTCGTTCGTGTCGTGCGTGCGGGCGAGGCGAAGCTGCGTGGGCGCGCGACAGGAAAAAACCCGCCGTTGCTAGGGCGAAGTCAAGACAGATGATTCTCCCCCGTCCGTCCGTCCGTCCGTCCGGCGGTGGCCCTAGCGGTGTCCCGCGGTGTTCCGTGGTGTCCCGTGGTGTCCAGTGTCCCTTGGTGTCCCGTGGTGTCCCGTCGAGTGAGACCGATAGTGAAGTCGATATTGAGATCGATACTGAGATCGATGTGGTGTCCCGAGATGTCCCGTGGTGTCCCGAAAAGTGAGATCGATAGTGAGATCGACAGATGTCCCGTGGTGTCCCGTGGTGTCCCTTGGTGTCCCGTTGAGTGAGATCGATAGTCAGATCGATAGGGAGATCGATAGTGAGATCGATGTGGTGTCCCGAGGTGTCCCGTGGTGTCCTATGGTGTCTTGCTGAGTGAGATCAATAGTGAGATCGATAGTGAGACCGATAGTGAGATCGAGAGGTGTCCTGCGGTGTCCCGTGGTGTCCCGCGGTGGCCCGTGGTGTCCCGTGGTGTCCCGTTAAGTGAGATCGAGAGTGAGATCGACAAGTGTCCCGTGGTGTCCCGTGGTGTCCCGTTGAGTGAGATCGATAGTGAGATCGATTGAGTCAGATGTTGGTTCCCCCCCCTCTCCCCCCCCACACAACCTCCTTATCACCCGAAGCGTGGTCGTATAGGTATGTTTTTTCGCTGTGCGCAAGTCGGCAAACCCATCGTGGGGTCCTTCTGTTGCCATTCCCCTCTCGGTCATGTTCGTCAAGGCCCGCTCCAGGTTGCAGGACGTAGGAGGTTCTGCGGGCTTCGAGCCAAATCAAACCCTCCTCCCTGCCGCGTGGGTGCACTTCAGCGTGCTGGTTGGGTGGAACTTTTTAACATTCGCATGTTCTTGCATGGCAGCGGTCTCTTGTGGAGGCTCTGGTGATCGGCTAATGTATTGCTCTTCAACTTCCATAATGTCTCACATGTTGCTGGTTGACAGAGGTCCGCTTTGGTGAAAGCTCAGGTGAACGTCTTGCTGCCGCTCTGCATCTTCCTCCATCTTGGTCAACGTACGAGCAACTGTGTGTTCTCAGTCAATGGCGCAGGCATGGCCCAGAGCGGTCCTCCTTGCTCCGCCAGGACCCGGGACCCTTGAGCTCCTCCTCCTTGCTCCGCCTCCTCCTCCTCCTCCTCCTCCCCCTCCTCCCCCTGCTCCTCCTCCTCCCTCCTCCTCCTCCTCCTCCCTCCTCCTCCTCCTCCTCCTCCTCCTCTCCTCCTCCTCTCCTCCTCCTCCTCCTCCTCCTCCTCCTCCCTCCCTCCTCCCCCTCCTCCTCCTCCTCCTCCTCCTCCTCTCCCCTCCTCCTCCTCCTCCTCCTCCTCCTCCCCCTCTCCTCCTCCTCCTCCTCCTCCTCCTCCTCCCTCCTCCTCCTCCTCCTCCTCCTCCTCCTCCTCCTCCTCTCCTCCTCCTCCTCCTCCTCCCCCTCCAACTCTTCTTCCTCCTCCTCCTCCTCCTCCTCCTCCTCCTCCTCCTCCTCCTCCTCCTCCTCCTCCTCCTTCTCTTCCTTTCCTCGTCCATTTCCTCCTCCGCCTTCTCCTCCGCCTGCTCCTCCCTCCCACCTCCAGCCTCCAACCTCCGACCCACGGTCCTTCTCCTGCCTTCAGGCGGGGCGGGGCGCCTCTGCAGAGGCCCGCGCCGACTCGCGATATCCACCCGACAGGCCGAGGGAGAGCGGCCAGCCGCGGCGCGGGGAGTCCGCTGCAGAGCGTGATTCTCTTCGAGAAGGACAGCCTGGAAACCGCCGAGGCCTGCTCGCCGTTTGCGTCCTCGCTCGTCTGGCTCGCTCGCGCAGTCCCGAGCCCAGTGTCCCATCTTCCCACGTCGGGCACACTTCGGGCGACTCGCCACTTTGCTTTTGGTCCAGCGCTGCGGTCGAGCGCGCCCAGCCCGTTTCCCTCGCCGCTTCCCCTTGCCGGAGCATCCGACGGCCGTCGGTCTGCGCCTCGCCAGTCCCGGGCTGGAGCCAGCGCGGCGACGGCGGGCAGCGCGCCCCAGCGGCGTCAGAAGCGCGACCGCGGGCAAGGGCGACGCGCGTCGCAACGGGCGCGGGCCGCGGCGATCTCGGACAAGGCGGAGTCGCCGCGCGCTCCAACGTCGGCGAGGTGGAGGGAATTGCGCGCGGGGGGCCTGCCTGTGAAACGTGAGCAACTGTGTCACAACGCGTCGCAGAAGGCAACTCCATGAATCGCATCTCTCGGCGCGGGGACCCTGTCCTTGGTTCGAGGACCGATTACCACCTGCACAGACACAGAGAACCATAGGCCAGAACACTTACACGGGAATCGGCAGGATGCGACATTCGGCTCTGAATTCTGCTCCGTCCGAAACGCGCGTCTGATCATGCTGTTCCGTGTAGCATCTCCTACCGCACACTCCGTGCCTCGATCGACAATGGCAGTTGTTTGCGAATCATTTGGCTGTTGATAAAAATGCAACCGACTCAGAAGAACACCTTGGAAGGGCCGCCAAAATGTAGCATTATATTTCCTTTTGTGTCTTTTCAGGCTATTTGCGCAGCTTTCTTCGAGAGTTTGTTACGCGCAGCATTTCAAACACAATCCAGCCCACTGCCTGTTTGAGGCCGTTGCAGGTCGGCTTTGGTTCCGAGCATATCGGATACGTGCAGGACTGCTATTTCAACGGACGCCTTACCCGACCAGATTCTATGCGCATCCTTACTTGACAGTCCCAACGAACAACGGCCGCGCACGGCGTTCAACCAAGTCGGAAACTGGAACATATATATATATATATACATTACCAGTGGCGGGCTGTTTTTCAATCCCAGGACTTCTTGAGGGTCGAGGACGACGCTGGGGTGGTGCGGTGTATATTTCTTCCCCCGATGTCAAACAACGAAAAATGTATACATACACCAGGGTCACGTATACACCAGGATCCGCTCTCCGGTGCAAGTTCCAACGCAGGGCCAGAATAAGCGTCGGTGTATAGAGTTCGATTCCCTACCAACATCGTCCGAATCGGTTTTCTTCCCGTCCCGTTGAGGACTCCCCAGGGGGGAAAGGGGTGGAGCAGGAAGCGGGTGAGGCGGACGGCGGAGGGCGTCGTATGGGGCACGACCAAGCAGGGGGAGGGAACAGGGGCCAAAGGCTTCGACACTTCCAGACGCCCCTCCACTGGAGGAGCCTGTGTTGAGAGCGGAGGAGCGAGCGTCCAGAGCGGAGGGCGAAGTCTCCGCTTCGGACGGCCTGGAGCCGGCTGCGGCCCACGCGCCATGCGGGTCGGCTTCCTTGGCCAGACACGGCGCGCCTCGCCTCGCCTCGCATCGCCTCCCAGCGGGTCGTGAAGGCCGACCAGCGGTTCGGGACGTCCCGTGCCGCTATCCTCTCACTGTTCTCCGAAGAAGCGTCCTTCGACCACGAGCAAGGTAAGAGTTCGTCGGTTCCTGCAGGTTTTCATGCCTCGGCATGCGTTCCAGCAGCTGCGCCTCGCCGACAACGTCCTGGGGATGTTCGAACCGTCCAAAACGGCCGTCAGAGACCCGAGGTATGACGCGAAGCCCGAGTGACCTTTCGGAGGACCTTCAGTGTCCGTCTTTCGTTTGGCGCGGAGGCGGCCAAACTCAAGCAGCGCAAGCAGCTGCTGTCTTCTCGCGCGCAACGCAAGCCGCGCATCAAAGGTCACTCGCCTAGGGCCACTTGCGCGTGTAGACGACTCCGGTGGGGGAACAGAGCAGGGATGGACAGGGGGCAGGCAGCGAGAGGAAAGAGGTGTTGTTCTAGGCCTCCCAGATGTGTCCGAGTAGGTGAGTCGGAGGGTACCGCCGCATCGCCGATGCATCGGTGATGCGGCTCGATGTAGATCCCTACTTTCTCCACGCCGACGTCGCCGATGCATCGCCGACGTCGCCCGTGCATCGCCGATGTATCGGCGATGCATCGGCGATACGGCACCATTTTCCGACCCTGACTCTGCTGACCCCGAATCCGCCTTATTCTGGGTGATTTCGCAAGTAGGGCGGAAACTTCCGCCCTACTTTTAAGCTCGTGTGATGTAGATTTCTGGCCTGCTTTGCCGTCGCTGTTTCCGCCATACTTCTGTTGAAATGGCCGCCCTGCTTTTCTGAGGGCGAGATTTCCGCCTTATTTGTTGCCGCATCGTTTGGGGTGCACTTCGACACTTTTGGAAGTCGGAAGATCCACCAAAGTACGGCGGATCGGGAGTCAGGGGAGTGCAGGCTCTGTGCTCCGTTCTCTCTTTTCCCCGCTCTCTTGCTCTGCCGCTGCTGCCTGACGAGCTTCACCGATGTGCTGCCCTGGCTCTGGGGTGACGGGGGCGGGCCTGACTCTCAGGAAGGGCGGGGGAGGGGAACCAGATATTGCGGAACATTGCGGCAATTCGGGTTGGCGTGAGCTCGGGAGAGCCTGGGGAGGAAGAGGAGAAGGAGGAGAAGGGGAAGCTCATCTATTCCAGCCCCATTTGTCACATCGTTTGGGGTGCATTTCCGACACATCTGCAAGCCGGAAGATCAACCAAAGGTGCGGCGGATCCTGAGCCAGGGGAAACCCACCTATTCCGTCCTCATTTGGGAGGCCTCTGGTGGTCTGCTCGGCATGCAGAGGTGGGCGTCAAATCGCAGCGCAGCTCCGCCGCAGAGCGGGGTCGGGCGCGCAGTGCAAGCAGCGGGTGCGTCCCCCCGAGAGGAAGCGCAGCGCTTCGGGCAGTCCAGCCAGATCAGTTGCGTGCGGCCCCCGCCACCGCACCCTGCCGGCGGCCTGGGGGGCCGTGTGGCGCACCTTCGAGGGAGGAGGAGGAGGAGGAGGAGGAGGAGGAGGAGGAGGAGGAGGAGGAGGAGGAGGAGGAGGAGGAAGGTGGCGGAGGCGGAGGACGAGGGATGATGAGGGATGGATGATGAGGAAGATGAGGGAGGAGGGTGGAGGAGAGAGGAGGAGGAAGAGGAGGAGGAAGAGGAGGAGGAGGAGGAATAGGAGGAGGCGGAGGCAGGGGAGGATGAGGAGGAGGAGGAGGCGGAAGAGGAGGAGGAGTAAGAGGAGGATGGGGAGGATGAGGATGATCATGGAAACCGGACTCGTGCTAAACACCGTTAACGTTGCGAATCAATGTGATCGTTGCGCCTTGACAATCGTAAACCGTGCCAGAACACCAGCACTGGGACCTCAACGGCGCGAGTTAATGTGGCTGCTGCGTCCTGACAATCCTAAATCGTTCTTGAAAGCAATTTCTCTGATTTCATCCCCACGAATCTTTTAGTTTGTTGAAATATGTTAGAATGAATGTGCGCGGAGCTACGGCGGGAGCCACATTCCAAAATGAGCAGCCGTCCATCCTTGAAACCGTCGCACACTTTTCAGAAGAATGTGCGCGGCGCGAAGGCGAGAGCCACGTTTTGAAAGCGAGCAGCCCTCCATCCTTGAAACTGTTGCAACTTTCAAGCTTCTGGATAAGACATGGCGAGGCAATCTCAGGCGAATTGCCCGGCCCGCCCTACCGACACGCTTGGGCGTGCGACAGGGAGGAGTTAGTGTTCACAGTGAGGGGGCCGAACGGTCATTCTTTGTCCCTGGGCGCGTGGCTGAAGTGAGGTTATTTGGTGCAGATTGTTGTTGTTGGTGGTGGTGGCGTTGTTGTTGTTGGTGTTGTTGGTGGTGGTGTTGAATCTTAATTTCTAAAGAATAATTATTGCTGATCTCGGGAAACGTTTCCGCGCGCTCTCGCCTCCACGCTGGCTACATTTTCTCTGAAAACGAGGCTCCCGCGCGAGCGTTGGCTTGAATGTAGATGTGGGCCCTTGGAGGCCCGGCTACAACGACAACGGCTCCCGCTCGATATTTCTTCACAATTTACCCCGAGACACCCTGGCCAGAGATGCCTCCGAACTCAGGAACGGCGCTATCGCTCGAGACTTCCTCGCAATTGAGTCAAGTTGGCGGAGGCCCAGCCACGACGACAAGGGCTTCTGCTCGATACTTTCTCACGATTTACTCCGAGAGCTCCTGGCTGGGAAGGCCCCCGAACTCAGGAACGGCGCTCTCGCTCGAGAATTTCTCGCGTTTCAGTCAAATTGGTGGAGGCCCAGCTACGACGACAAGGGCTCTCGTTCGATACTTCCTCAAGATGTATTCGCAAAGGCCCTTGCCAGAGAGGCCCCCGAACTCAAGAGAGGCGCTCTCGCTCGAGATTTTCTCGTAATTCAAGCAAGTTGTGGAGGCCCAGACACGGCGACAAGGATTCCCGTGCGATCTTTCTCCATATGTATTCCGAGAGCTCCTGGCCAGAGAGGCCCCCGAACTCAGGAATGGCGCTCTCGCTCGAGTGTTCTTCGCAATATAGTCAGTGGCCGACAAGAAAGTTATTCCCCCCGAAAGTGGGTCAATCGAAGACGAAGTTGGCGGGTATCGAGGGCTGGGGTATACAGAATGCAGACACGCGTGTCAGTAAGAACGAACAGTCTTAAAATGATTGTTGTTGTTGCTGTTGTTGCTGTTGTTGCTGTTGCTGTTGCTGTTGTTGCTGTTGTTGTTGGCAAGGACGGGTCTTTGGAACCCGGCGGCAGGAGTCGCGGGGGGGGTCGCAACCGCAACCGCGCAACGCTCGAGCGGGAGCGCCGGGAGGGGGGGGGGGCGCGCAACAGGGCGGATGGAAGCGCAACCAACGGCGCAATTGGGCGGGGGAGGGAGGGCGCAACAGGGGGAGGGGAAGGCGCATGCCATTCGACCCTTGGGGGCGCACTGGGAGCGCTCCCTGCGAGCGTTCTGGGGGCGTTCCCTGTGCGCCCTGGGCACGCTCCCTGGAGGCGCTGGGGGCGTAGTGGGAGCGCTCCCTGTGTTGTGAATACAGTTCCAAAGAACATGCAGAATCGATCTCACACTTCAGGCCCAAAGTGGCCACAACAAAATGTGGCGGTGTTTTCGTTTGTAGTCTGGCCGATGAGGAGGTCGGTGGTGACCGAATCCCTCTGAGCGCGCCCGAGCGCGAAGCAGGATCTTCCATGCCGTTCACAGTGCCATCTACCACCCTTGAGTAGGTTAGCTCTCGCTCACGTGAATTCGGCACGGTATGTAATATATATATATATATAACATGTATATGTAATGTATTGCTCTGATCGTGTGAATATCTCCCATCCAGAAACGAGACTTTTCCGGTCGGCCTGCCGGCCACGGCGCCGACCGCACCGAAGAAGGGTCCGACAGAGCTGCTTGCACAAAGCCTGTCGGTGCAACTGTTTGCGTTTGTCTGTCCAGGGGGGGCAGGATTTCCAGGAGGGAAAAAACACAGACACAATTAATCGTCGACTCCCAGTAAATATGCAAAACTATGGGAAGTTGGGGGGAAGACGAAAATCTAAAAAAAAAAAAAATGAAAAAATATGGGGGATCCTTTTATTTGTGTGTATTTATTTGTGTGTCTCAGGGCGCCTTCAGATTTGTCCGCCCCAGCCGGCGCCTGACGCAAATTGGGGCGCTTGTTCTTGAGAGAGAGAGAGAGAGAGAGAGAGAGCGAATGGGTCAGGCAAAGTCCGTACCCATTTTGGCTCAAGGCGCACAGGTGTTTGCCGAGAAACGCCAAAACGCATTCTTCTCGCGCGCGTGCCTAGACGCCACGCGCGGTCTGCAGCAGCAGAGGCAAAGAGAAAGCTAACACGTCCTTGGCTCCACGAGCCGACGACAGGACAGAATGGAGGGAGAGGATCAGACGTCCCTGACACTGGCATCCCAGAGCAGAATGGTGGACACACTGGGGAGTCGGGACAATGCGACCAGCCGGTCCCCGACTCCCAGAACAAGGGACGCCCTCCAAGCAGCGCCGAGCACATGACCACCGAGCCCGAGGAGCCTCCAAATGCAAAGTCGGAGGAGCCTTCCAAGAAGCCGTGCAGGTGCGATCACATGAAGAAAGGAAAACTCTGCGGCGGCTACGGCCACGTCGCCAGGCACCACGTGGAGGTTATGAAGGGAGAGGCAAATAACGGAGATAGAGGACTGGAAGGCTGCCAACCCCCAGGCTGCCGGAAAAGGGAAAGGAAAGGATAGCAAAGGTAAGTCTAAGGGGAAAGGTAAGGGAAAAGGTAAAGGGAAGGAGCAGCGCCTGGACATGAACGAGGAGGCCCCGACGACCAACCGCGACCGTGCTTTGAGGGTGCTGGAGGCCCTCTTAGTCACTAGCGAGCACCCTGCCCGTCCCTGGTGGACGAAGGCGCCGTGGCGTACAGTTGTGGTCATGTTGATGCCGTTCCTCTTGATGTGCACGATGTTCTTTGCGGCTGACTTCATCTCCCTCCGCTTCCTCGCAGTCGCGCCAGTACTCGCCTGCGTCAGCTTGCTGCCGCGCCGCGCATGGAAACGTGCTGGCCGACTGCGTCGGAAAGTGCTTCCCCGAGCTCGATCGCCAGAAGTTTCTCTTCCAGCCAAGTTGAAGATCCCCGGAGGTTTCAATAGTCGTGGCTTCGTGTGGGTAGGGCCCGCGCGCGTCGAGACTGTGCTCGATAGTGGTAGTGCACGTAATTCCGTCGACTTGGATTTCCTCCGGCGGCTGATCCAGGAGCCGACTACGTCCATGCAGGTAGCGGAGGTCGTCGACATCGAGCCTATGGATTGTGGCAGCATGCTCGAGAACACCACGTTCACTGCCAAGAAGCTGGCCTTCATCGACATCGCGTTAAAGGGGGGCCCCGCGACGGAAGGAGTTACGAAACGGTTAGGCTTCGCAGTTACCAAAAGGAGCTCCGATGACCTTATAGGACGCCCCACCTTGTGCGACCTAGGCTACGCCCCTCAGAAGGAGAGCGTCGCGCTCCGTACCCTGGGGCTGCAGTTCGCCGCCGTGCTTCCCAGCGACTGCCACGAGCATGTCCTCAACTCCCGTTCTGCGACGACAGCATGGCTTGAGTCTGGCGGCGACTCCTCGCAGATGCGCACGCTCGAGTTGGCGGTTCCCTCGGAGGCCCAGTCGGGCCGCTGGCGGTTAGAAGCAGGACCTGGACTTCCTCATGGCGTCGAGCTTATCGAGGGCCCCTTGGTGGTCACAGGCAGTAGGGCGAACGCAATTCTCCTGGTCTCGGAGGACTGCCACGCAGGCCCCAGAATGCGGCTGGGGCGAGTTCGTAAGGCGACGCGCGAGGATTTGAGGCCCCTGGCCACAATGGAAGCGGCGGAGGCTGAGCAGCACCACGTTCAGGAGACTTCGGAACGGTGCTCGGCGGAAGTGAACGGAACATTGACGAAACGATCCCCTAAAGAGACTTTCTCGAATCCAAGTACAAGAAGAAGGGATCCAAGACGAGGGGGGAGGCGCTTTCCCCGGACCTTGAACAAGAAATCGGCGAGGCACGGAACACAATCGAGAAGCCTGTGAAGTGGCCTGATCAGGACAACGAGGATTTCAATAACGAAGTGGAGAAGACAGCTTCAGCAACATTGGCGAGCACCGGACGAAGAAGCAGAAGTCTTCTTTCATTCATCGTGGATGGAGGGCTGCAAGGCCCCTTGCGTTGAAGGAATCACGGCGCACGTCGAGCCCCTGCCGAATGCGACGCTCAAGGTCACAGCCTCTGCCTGGAGTTCCACGAGGACCTCGAAGTAGCCGAAGGCACGTGGCCCCCTCGCTTCCCTTCGTGGCCCCACATATGTATGCCCTTCGTGGCCCCC